TGGAAAGACACATTTTGGCATTAATATACTGGCTTTGATTAAACATACCTGGTTGCACTATTCAACAGTCACACAATATATATCCTTGATTGAGTCCATGTAAGTAAACACAAATTAGTAAGTCCCAATGAGATATCTTGTACAGTGTCCATCTTGTAGGTGCCCGTGAGGCGGTTTCTGTATTGTGCAGGGTCTGCATGAAGATGGCTGTGGTCGGGTCTCTGTGGGATACGCGTGTATACTTCTTTTCTTAGGTCATGTGCAGGAACGACATCTTGAAGGGGAAGTCTTAGCAGTGTTGCTAAGATATTCGAGCAGGGAAGGTTTGGGATCAAAGAACTTGTTCTTGATCGGAGAGGTTCTTGTTAAAGGCCATTTCTTCGTTCTTGGTGATTGGCCCCCAGGAAGGTAGTATATCCTTTTAATAAGAGACTGTCACTTCCTACAGTTTTGTGAACCATATGCCATGCTGCAAAGAGGTACAGGAAAGGACAGACTAAGAAGTCTGTCATACCCGATAGCTCCACCAAATTATCAACGCGTGTCGATCTGACGTTGATTAATGAACAATTTGCATACTCGTATATGCAAGGGGCTGAGGTATGGTTCTCAGTAGGAAGTGACAACTTGGTGACGATGGCTTGCGGTATATACAGTTTTACTTTATACATGTCGATATATACATACAGAAGACACTATGTGCCAGGTCAGCACATAGTGGTAGTGGTTGTTGTCTAGGTGCCCAGGAGCACCCAGCCTAACCCTAGCTAGGCTAAGGGTAAGACCTTTTTTTCCCCCCTTCTCTCTTTTTTTCTGTCCTTCTTCCTTTTGTCTTTTCTCTCTGGACCAAGGCTTATATAGCCAAGGTCACCTGACATTTAGTAAGTAATAAATATAAATGTAAACAGTAAATCACCAGTGACATACTTGCACATCCTGTTCAGGATGGCAGACGGTCGATGTACACAAAAATGGGGATTAACAAATAGGATTAGCATCTAATAAATAACAGCAATTAAATGTTTCAAGGCATATAGATGTCATGGCTCCAGGGTAATGAGCCTTTGCAATTAAATGTTCTTTAGACAATGGGTGTCGTAAATCAGTCACCATGACATAGTGATAACGCTGTTTTCTTGTTCCATTTAGGGTTAATGTCATCTTGATCAGACTTTCTAAGAACTTGACACGGGGGAAGAATTACAATGGCTAGGAAAGATAATTTGGTCTGAACCTTACACAGGAAACCACATAGCCTGTTTTCTATTGAAATGTCAGAGGAGAAACTAAGAAGACGTCTTGAAAAAAAGACACTGATGAAGTACGGAGGAGATGGAGTTTTTGAAGAGACGCCTTCATGTGTAATATGACCAACATTTACAGTCGAAGGACCACTAGAGCAGTTAGTGCTGAAATTGACTCATTTCATGAAAGGGTTTTCAGGCCTGTGTTTTACCACTTTTCTTTGTCAAAATGTGAAATGAATATAATAATTAGAATCATCCGCTTGATGAATCTTGAAGTATATGTTTTGACCAAAGTACAAACAAAAAGATGTTTAAAATTGCATTAATTAAACATCCTGGGTTTGATTTAGAATAAGTTGTTTGGTTACTTTAGAAACGTAGGATAGACATAAGTATTTGGTCTGTGATCCTTCCAACAGGTCCAAGGGAAAACTGTCTTTGCTGCAGGAAAGTCAGTGTCCTGCATGGTCAGCTGTACATGTAGGAATCAGTCCTGCATGGTCAGCTGTACATGTAGGAATCAGTCCTGCATGGTCAGCTGTACATGTAGGAATCAGTCCTGCATGGTCAGCTGTACATGTAGGAATCAGTCCTGCATGGTCAGCTGTACATGTAGGAATCAGTCTTGCATGGTCAGCTGTACATGTAGGAATCAGTCCTGCATGGTCAGCTGTACATGTAGGAATCAGTCCTGCATGGTCAGCTGTACATGTAGGAATCAGTCCTGCATGGTCAGCTGTACATGTAGGAATCAGTCTTGCATGGTCAGCTGTACATATAGGAATCAGTCTTGCATGGTCAGCTGTACATGTAGGAATCAGTCCTGCATGGTCAGCTGTACATGTAGGAATCAGTCCTGCATGGTCAGCTGTACATGTAGGAATCAGTCCTGCATGGTCAGCTGTACATGTAGGAATCAGTCCTGCATGGTCAGCTGTACATGTAGGAATCAGTCCTGCATGGTCAGCTGTACATGTAGGAATCAGTCCTGCATGGTCAGCTGTACATGTAGGACTGATTCCTGGCAGTATAGTCCAGTAGTACCTCCTGATTCCTGGCAGTATAGTCCAGTAGTACCTCCTGATTCCTGGCAGTATAGTCCAGTGGTACCTCCTGATTCCTGGCAGTATAGTCCAGTGGTACCTCCTGATTCCTGGCAGTATAGTCCAGTGGTACCTCCTGATTCCTGACAGTTTAGTCCAGTGGTACCTCCTGATTCCTGGCAGTATAGTCCGGTGGTACATCCTGCTTCCTGGCAGTTTAGTCCAGTGGTACCTCCTGATTCCTGGCAGTATAGTCCAGTGGTACCTCCTGATTCCTGGCAGTATAGTCCAGTGGTACCTCCTGATTCCTGACAGTTTAGTCCAGTGGTACCTCCTGATTCCTGGCAGTATAGTCCAGTGGAACTTCCTGATTCCTGGCAGTTTAGTCCAGTGGTACCTTCTTATTCCTGGCAGTTATAGTCCAGTGGTACCTCCTGATTCCTGGCAGTATAGTCCTGTGGTACCTCCTGATTCCTGGCAGTATAGTCCAGTGGTACCTCCTGATTCCTGACAGTTTAGTCCAGTGGTACCTCCAGATTCCTGGCAGTATAGTCCGGTGGTACCTCCTGATTCCTGGCAGTATAGTCCAGTGGTACCTCCTGATTCCTGGCAGTATAGTCTAGTGGTACCTCCTGATTCCTGGCAGTATAGTCCGGTGGTACCTCCTGATTCCTGGCAGTTTAGTCCAGTGGTACCTCCTTATTCCAGGAAATAGTCAGGGGTATATAGACTAGTCCTCTCCATGTTAACTACAACTTTAAGTGACTCATGATAATGAATTTACCGTTTCATTGCGCCTTCAGACAGAATTCCTCAGCAACATTTAATGATTGATGCTATCACTTCCTCCCCTGTTCATGTGATAGGACACGGTAAAAACACTGTCTGCCAAACCTCTGCTGAATGGAGGGGGGATTGTCAGACTTGGTTGTTGCAGGCAATACAGTCTTTCTCTGTGCCACTCAGCTTTTCACTTATAATTCAGTACAGTTAAAACATTCATTTAATTACAGCGGAGAGATTTCTCCAAGCCGTTAATTTGTAGTTTTAGTTTCATTTATTATTCATTATTATTATTTCTTTTTTTCATGAACATTTTTATATGGCTGTGAATATCAACAAATTCACGAAGATGACATTTTCTTTTTCATCAACTACCTAAATCATGCCACAGTCTCCCAGGAAAACTTATTGAATTTGTTTCAAATTGTAGGTGTATTTTTGGATACATGAGAAATCTATGATGGTAATATTTTGCATTCTATATTTTAGAATGAATGCAAATAATATCTACTTCGAGTTCCATGGGACACAAACGAGCATGGATGTCGCAATGGTTGGAACTACTTCACTCAATCACTAAGTTTCAAGTCAAACAAGGAAATCCTTTTCCATAATACTGTATTCGATGTAATAAGCACCCATGGTTTATGCTGACAGCCTGAAATGTTTATGTACGAAAGATATATTTTTCCAGAATTTTATTGCGGATAATTATGGGTGCATATAACACACGAGTGCGTGTTATATGCGATTAAATAAGTCCTGTGTACATTGATCAATTGGAAGGGGTGCTTATTGGGATTGTTCACTAGCCAATATTTTAGCAAATATCGCAGTGGGCACTTATAACGTCTAATACGGTAAGCATGAGCATGATAAGGTACGACAAGATAGGAATCAGGGTGCTTGATTTGTCATGGCTTGCAAACAGGTATGACTAGTTAATTTAAGCAAGTTCTAACAGCATTGTAAAATCAAGTTTTGCATTTTCTTTTGTGATAGACAGTAAGGCTATGTGTCTGAAAGGATGTAAGGGCGGTTAATTCAGAGTTAAAAAACATTACTTTTTGAAAATTGATACTGAATTAAGACATGAATCATTACATTGATAGAATTATCGTGTGTTGTATCGTCAGGGGTAAATGTACAATGCATTGATACACACTCTCAAGTCAATGCTGTGATGCCAAGTAATATAAATGTGTATCTAATTATTTCTGACAGTGGCATGACATTAGTGATTTGATCGGGTGTTCAGGCTCGCTGACTTGGATTGATCACAAGAATTCAAAAGATGACTACAATTTTGTGTCATTTGAATTTTTCCTTTTGTGAAAGTCTGATGTTGACCATGATTAACAGTCCTTCATATTTGCCACTATATTTGATTTCAATTTGGTTTCCTTGCTGTGATACATTACAAACAGACTCGTGAAGATCTGGGGAAGAATAGGTCTTCAGCAACCCATGCTTGTCGGAGACCCGTGAAGATCTTGGAAGAATAGGTCTTCAGCAACCCATGCTTGCCGTAAAAGGCGACTATGCTTGTCGTACGAGGTGACTAATGGGATGGGTGGTCAGGCTTGCTGACTTGGTTGATGCATGTCATTGATCCCAATTGGTGGATCGATGCTCATGATATCAATCACTGGATTGTCTGGTCCCAACTCGATTATTTACAGACCGCCGTCATATAGCTGGAATATTGCTGAGTGCGGCGTTAAACAACAAACAAACAAACATTACAGACATAATTATCCTGACATCTATTTTGTTGAGAGACTAGAAGGAATATGATATTGTATGAATATTGTTTGTCAATATATCCATTACTGACATCCCAATGTTTTGATATGGTATGAGAGTCACATTGTATGGAGACAATGATAGTTGGGTAGTGTTATTGAGAGGTATTGTTACATTTCAGTGGCACTTGAGACAGCCTGACGAGCGTGTGACAAGGAGACTGCACCACCCATCGTAGGATGGGGGAGTTCGCCAGCAGCAGTGGAGGGGGAGGGGGAGCCCTTGACAGATGGGTGTGTCCCAATGACCGCCAGCTCGCCCTGCGTGCAAAGTAAGTATATACCCTTATTCTGAATGTCACTGCAAAGATAAGCGCACTGTGGTGAAGCACAAGACTTGTTACTAGCAGTATTGACCCGTGAAGATCCGGGGTAGGAAACGTCTTCAGCAACCCATGCTTGCCGTAAAAGGCGTCTATGCTTGTCGTGAGAGGTGACTGACGGGATCGGGTGGTCAGGCTCACTGACTTGGTTGATGAATGTCATCGATCCCAATTGCGTGGATCAATGCTCATGATATTAATCACTGGACAGTCTGGTCCAGCCTCGATTATTTATGCAGACTGCTGTCATATAGCTGGAATATTGCTGAGTGCGGCACTGAACGAAAAAACAACTAACAACTAGCAGTATTTCTGTTGCATCAGCTTTGTCATTATTCAAAATATTTGATTGTCTTCAAGGTTCTTGAAGTTTTTCTCAATTTGAAACACTATTCAAAGTATGTAGAAATGGATTCTTCTTTTGATTAATCTATTTTAAGCTACAACCCTCTTGGGATGTCCATTTCTTTTACAAACATAATGAGGGTAATAAATCCTAGTATTTGTTTCAACAAAATCAAACAGAACACAGATGACAAAAATGAAGAAGATGTGGAATGTTTGGCTTTTGTTTGACAGTCTCTCTTACGTCACCCTTCCGTGTTCCTGGGTTTCACCGAAGTGGTAAACATCTGAGGCCTGCATCACTTCGGGCTTTCCTCCCACATTAAGCTGACAGGCGGTGATATGACTGGAATACTGTTAAAAGCCGCATTAAACCCAACTCACTCACTCACTCTCTTACGTCACCCTTCCGTGTTCCTGGGTTTCACCGAAGTGGTAAACATCTGAGGCCTGCATCACTTCGGGCTTTCCTCCCACATTAAGCTGACAGGCGGTGATATGACTGGAATACTGTTAAAAGCCGCATTAAACCCAACTCACTCACTCACTCTCTTACGTCAATTCAATATAATTTCTTGTGTGTCAACATCAAGGTCTGAAGGAAACAAGACCAGGCAAATGTGTGCAGGACTAATGTCAACTTCAGTAAATATTATAGACAGGTCATTATTGTAAAAACTGTTCAAGTTCAATAGACAGGACAATCTGAAAGGATTAATCCCTGGAGGTAGGATGGGAATGTTATAGCCTCAGAAATATTCACTGGAAATGGTAAATGTTTTGCAAAATCACAATGAAAATGACAAAAAGGCAAAAATGAAAGAAGTTATGAGGTTAATACTTTGACTATACAATATTCAACGTTATTTCCTCAGAGTCTTAGGTTTAAGACAAGATTTAGCTTCTGGGAAAATTAAAGAACTCGGGTAGGGAGGTTTATTGGTAAAAGTTATAACAGTGTTAGATATTAGGGTGTGTGTTTTAAGGGGAGATGGTGTCCTTGAGGTTTTTTGCTGTATTGTGTTAATCTAGGGACCTCACAAAAGTTATCATTTTCAACATAGCAGTTTGGACAGGCCACTTATCTTTCATGCTTGAAGTGGCCTTGCTGCAAAAGTGTTCGTTCATCTTGCCGGGTTTGCGTGTTGATGTGGTGTGATGTATCAAACTCAGTCATTGTGTCCCTTGCTGTATCGCTGGAATAATTGTAAAGCTCACTGAAAGGCATTTCCAATGATAAAGTGTTCTGCGTCTTTACTCAAACCTCATCCTGTATTGTAACTTGCCTTGTGTCATGTCTGACCTATATAGTCTCCATAGCACTTGGATCAAGACACCATTATTGAATATTTGACAGTTCCAGTAATATCAATTCAATGTTCTCCCCAAATTCCTACCCAATTTCAAAATACCTCACAGCCGCTGTGTGAGCCATGCAAGGAGACGTTGCTGGAGCCCGGAGGCCATTACCCACCATATCCTTCCTCTCACTCCTTCCCTCGGCCGTCATCGGCCAACCCAAATCCCTGTCAAGTGGTCTCGGTGTGGACAGCCTCGCCTAAACCTTTCCTAATTTGACCAAATATATCTCGTTTGAGTCGGATAGGTATTTGCTCAGCTCGATATGAGATATCATTTGTCTGGGATGAGAGCCAAATGCTATATTAGATTTCTTATTCCACAGAAGCCATACCCATCCTTGTCTTGGAGGGTGATGCTGGAATTATGGCCCAGGCGATGGTGCATTATTTAATGTATCTAATCACAAATATTTATCCAGTAGGGCAGAGGTAGAAAAGAATATCCAGCCAAGCTTGTAATAACCTTAGGCGCTTTGGCCATTATTTTTTGTAGGAGACTATTGATTTTGGAATGATTTACTGAGCTGTCACTGTAGCTGTTTTAGACTTATAACCATTCTATGTGCAGGGTTCCCACGTTATCTACCATGGCAGAATTACAGTGATGCCTAGATTCATCGTGATAACATAGACTCGCCACCACATGCAGGGGCATGGGGAAATTATTGCTCGACGGCGCTATTAGCGGTTTCATCTTAAGCAGGGATGCATCCTGATCTGAAGCATTTCCCAGTCTGAATAGTGATCACATATAGGGACAGACACCCTTAAAACCCTTTGGGTACCTTTAACATTAGACAAAATGACTTGGGTTAGTGCCTTGTTGCTCTGTCCTCAGCAGTAATTTAGCTTGAGACAAATGACATGAGACTCTTGATGACTTATGATATACTCTCTAACACATGGCCCACTGTTCTAAAGCACTGCCATTTGCTGGTCATCCTTAGCTGTGATTTTGTTTGAGACAAATGGTATGAGACATTTTCATTGCTAAATCAAATCTACTTTGGTTGAAAAATGTTTGTATGTTGTTATTACCAATGTTGTTGATGATGACATTTTAGATGACAATCAGTGCAGTGTCCTACACGATGAGGCCAACCAGGGCCAGAACTGGCTATATACAACATGCACCAGTGCAACCGAGTATCTGTCTACATGTACCAAGTGCATATAAAACAAATTCAAATTTGTGACCCTTGCTTTTCAACCCAACAACGATTTTTGAACTCACTCAATACCCTGAAGCATGTTCAGCTTCATGTACCATACTTACACACAACTAACCCATGTGGTGAGTAATTTGTCATGCTTTCTTGGGCTTGTTGTCATCAAACTGTGGGTACTTAAGATTATGTGCACATGTTCCTTTTACGTTTACACTTACATTGTCAATATATTGTCAATGTAAAATTGGGATACGGTCATCAGAGATGTGAAATTTTAATTTTTAAACTAGTTTATGCATCAGTGTTTCACCAGGATGCAACCTGGTTTCTTGTCAACATGCACCTGGTGCAAGTTGAATCAAGTTCCGTAAATCAAGCCCTGCCATCTAAAACCCTGCCTGAGTCAGTATGATCCTGTAGGTGTCTGTCTGATCCTACATTGGGCCAGTTATGATCGTCAGTTTGTCAGCAGCATGGGGTAACAGCTACATCTACTTTGGTCTTTCCTAGCACACCCTATTCCAACCTTGTGGGAGTAATGCCTGGTTTGAACTGGTCCTCAGCGACTTATGCTGGTTTTAAGAGGTGACTAAATTGTTTGGGTGGTCAGATTTGGTGACTTGGTTGATTGTTGAGTGCAACATTAGGCAAACAAACAAATATCATATGAAGCCAGAGACAGGTGGACTTTCTGTAAGTAAACTGGACAAACATGGGAAACAACGAACATATGAACATTCACAAAATGAACCCGAGAATTCAGAATTGTTGTCTAGCTCATGGAGAAATGACATTCAGAGAGTTTGTGGAGGGCTGTTCCTCTTGTTGTAACAGTGCTATCTTCAGACATTAATTTTGGTGAAATCGTGTGTGAAGTGGTCGGTAGATTGCAAAACTCACCATTATTTACAGCAACCATGGTCTAATTACAGCTGTTAATGCATAAAACGAACTTTAGTTGCCAGAGAATGGATACATATTTTATAAATGTCACAATTTGACTCGTTAAATTTTGTGGCAATTTGACTATTATGTTGACATTGTCAAATTATGTTTTGCAATCAAAATAAATGCAGTGCAGGAAGTCCCTACAGTGACTGGTCAAATTGTTCCATGCATAAACATATCCTGCAAAAGGAATCACATGCTATTTCCGGCTCAGTTAACGACAAATACCCTCAATAATCTTAATCTCTGCGTGTAACACAATGCCTTGGAGAGCAGGAAATACACTTCAAATGGTAAATCATCATGTCTAGTGATGTTTTATATCAAATTTCATTGTTTTATTGACATATTTGTTATACCTGTTCGTCCCCCTGAATTCACTGAAGAGATATGATGTGGTATTTTAGAGCATGTAACTCTCGATAAATCGTTTTATACACTATGAATCATAAACAACTACTATTCTAATCTGTTATTGAACTCCTAAACATAGATTGTGTTAGGTAGGCAGAGCATGTACTGGTGTGTTGGTCATCTACCCCTCTTTGACTCAACCTTCGTTAAGACTCAACAGCAGGAGATATTGTCAGTACTCAGAGGGCATCACTGTCCCCTGACAATGTTGACATTTTAATATTTCTGAAAAAGAACCTGAAGTAGAACTATTCAGACTGTGAAGTACATTGATTATTTTCTGGTGTTTGAACTTTGAAGTTTTCTGCTGTTTTGAAATTTGTAGTGTTATGAAGGAAAGTTAGATAAAGTTCTACTTTGTAACTTAACTTCAGTAGTCTTGTTATCATAAAAGAATTTTGACTGTTCCAAATTCGTAAAAGGTCCAATCTTGACATGCTTGAAGTCTTGAAACTTAATAATAGCTGGAGTACTGTTATCTGGTTTGTTTTTTTGTATCGTTGCGTATCGAGATTGGTATCGTGACTTTCCTGTAATGTTGCAGCCCTAATGAATCGTAATGATATGTTTTTTAAAGTTTGTAAGGCTTTTTCGTATTTGGAAATGTTCAACCTCCAAAATAAGACTTTCAAGCAAGTTTGTAACTTTTCAATTACTGCTTTTATATCAGCCCTTGGGAAAGCTAAGGCATTTCACTGACAATGAAATAACC